ATTAAGGTAAAGGCAAACAGCAAAAGTTATGTTCAGCCCAGGCACAGCCTCCAATACATCTGAAACATCACAGCAGTGTGTCTGGGCAAATGCTTGTACTGTTAAAATCTCCCTGTCCCTGCACAATTCAGGGCCATATAGAGTATGGCATTTTAGTTTTGTAGTGTTTCTCCATTACAAATATAATCTCCCTTTATCATGACTAATTAAGTTGGCCTTCATTAGTCATATTTATTTCAAGTGATGGAAAATAACCTGTCTACTTTTGGTAATGGGAGAAAAATACTTTAAAATAGAAGCTTAGAACACAGAGCAGTGTAGGCTGACATGCTTTTTATTCCTGCTGCATCCACCCCAGGTCCAGAGACCAGTCACTGCAGCAATGCTGGACTGCAATGTTCTGATTAAGGAATTAGAACTGGATGTAGAAAATGAAGGTGTAATTTATGTGGCTGGCCTAAAGAAGTCATTAACAGAGACAGACTTGCAAGAAGAATTCAGCCAGTTGAAAGACCTGGAAACACTGTTCCTGCCAAAGGATCTTCAGAGTGGAAAGCACAGGAACTGCTGTTTCCTCAGTAAGTAGCTTCACACACAGACTGCATATTTCCTTCAAATAAGCTCATTCAGCAGCCCTTGGGACTTTGCACAGGCACAGCAAGAGCTGCTGAAAACCAGGTAGGCTCAAAGGGATGGTATTTTAAATGCTCCTGTGAAAGCACATATTGTTTGGAGAAGCACTTTACAGCTAAATATTTAAGAGGAAAAAACACCCGCTTAAAAAAAACCCAGACATTTACTTAGAAAAACTGCAGGGTAACTAACGGGCTCCAGTACTTCCATGTGAGGGGTGGCTACTGTGCAGCTCCACACAGCCCAGTAATCACCTCTGAAAGGTGAGAACAGCTCAGTGAGTGCTGCTGCAGCCAATTGGCATTTCTAGTCTGATGTTTATCTGTAGCAAGATGAGAATCTGCTTGCTGCAGTGATTTGTTTCTCATCTCCCTCCTGCTCCACACCTTTAGCCCTGCCTTGCAGGTGCCAAGGAGGGCAGCAATAGCATTGCCAAACCACGTTCCCTTCTCTTTGCATTTCAGAATTCCAGAAAACCCAGAGTGCTGTGGATGCCATTGAAACCATAAATGGATGGACCATGAAGGGTAGTGAGCTAAGAAGTAGGAATGCCCTTGCTCCAGGTCACCTCTGGAGATGGATTTGGCAAATGAATCACAGCAATGGGAAGCAAGGAAAGCACATCTTCTATGAGAAAATGGAGCAGCTGTCTGACTCTGTGAGTGTGAGGTTCTGCTGCTGTTTGTTGCAATTAGTGAGGAGGGACTGCCTGGGAACCTGGAGAGGTAACTTTGAGCTGACTGAGGTGCAGAGCTGCTTGTGACAGAAGGGTCTCCTTGTGCTGGAGCAAGGGAGCTGCCAAGGATCAGTTCCCACAGAGCAGTTTGAGAGATAATACCACACGAGATAACGTGGTGTTTGCAGGGCACTGCATCATGTTACAACCAGATAGCTGCACGGGGCCGTGGGTGGTGCTGCCCAGAACTGAAGCTGACGGGGCACAGGAGTCACAGGGAAAGGTGAGTGGCTGTGTGGCTGCACAGGAAAGAAGAGCTCTAGCTGAGAGCTCTGGAGGTGCAGCTCCCATTTTTGCCACGGTGCCATTTGAGCAGGGCCTGTGGTTCTCCCTGCAGCTGGGCCACTGCACTGCCAAGCAGGAGCAGCATCACTGCTGCCCTCACCTGTGCCATCCCACAGGTCACCTTCCCACAGACTTAGAAGCATAATCCCTGATGAATGGGGGATTTTATTCTTTCTATTCTCTTATGCAGGAGCAGGACTTATGGAAGAAGGTGAAGAAGTTAGACCACCATATCAAAAAGCTTTATAGGAGCCTGCAGAATAACACCCTGTGCGTTGTTCTCTTTCCTGGAGTGAGCAGGTAACTTGCTACCTATTTTGCAAAGAACCAAGGAAAATACAAAGCTGAATATTTTTATCTTAATCTATTAAAACTTAAAGCTCTGCACAAGGACGAGAGAGAGCCCAAGAGAGGCCTGAAGAAGCTGTTGTACTTAATCTGACTTTCATGTTGAGCCAATAAAACCTCAGCCTTAAGTTCTGCCCACAAATCAGGCCTGAGTCACAGTTCATGTATCTGAGGGTTCACAGTGTTGATTAATTGTAGAGATCTTATCAGTTCACCCACCTTCCCCAGAGGATGTTTCATCCCCATTGACAATGTGGCCATGAGAGAATCAAGCAGAGTTTCCACAGCAGGCAGGAGTTTTTGAGGTGTTTGGTTTCTAAAACCACCTAATTACTGCAGCCAAGGCCTTACCTACCAGTCATTGTGTTGTGGTACCCAAAATGTGCTTCAGCCAGAGCTGCATGTGCTTCATGCCCTTGTTCTCTCATATGATGGACAAAAATGAGAAAACCCAAATTTTTTAAGTCCTTCAGCTTTTGTAGGAAGGAACAGGTTGTGCATTTGAGTTGGGCTGCAGCAGTGCTGTCAGGAATACTTCCCTGGAGTGGGCTGCCTGCATTTCAGCCCCTGGGCCTGAACTGCCACAGTCTCACTAATTATTAACCAGAAAGGTTCAGTCTTTCCAAAGCAAAGCCCTGGTTACTGAGGACATACTTCAACAGCCTTCTCTGCTCGTTGTCACTGGTCAGCTACCTTTCTGCTGCCTTCTCTGGGCTAAAACTGCATCTGTTTGTGCATTTCCAAGCAAACATTTGCCTCTCTACACCCTGTATCACCTCAGGTACCTTGCACACTCACCTGTCACCCCAGGGGAAGGTTTGAGGCATGGATGGCTGTGAGTTGCAGTTCACACCTCGTGTCCTCTGCAGCAGAGTCACTGGGCTCAGCACATCCCTGTTTACTTTTCAAGGGCCATTTCCAACTGTTCTTGCTTAGCACAGTCTTCCATCACCGAGGGGTAGGAATCCCACCAGCAGAACAGGTGGATTTGGGAATCTGCAGCCACAGGGTGCCTGTGGAAGCCCACAGAGCTTGGCTCACACTCTCAGGCTGCTGAGTGGGTTGGAAGGGAGCTCCATCTCAGGCTGGGAAGATTTCTTGCCAAGTGTGAGGTTCCTATATTACTGTTTCCCTAAGACCAGCATTTCAGAGGAGGCTTCTTGATTAAAAAGGATGTCAAATAATTGTGGGGTGGAAAAATAATTATTTTTTCAATGTGCTAACCCAGGGGGTTGCAGGCCTCTCACCGCCAGCCCAGCAGAGCTATGTGCATGAAGGCTGAACTGAGCAGAACTAAAACACTTCTTATTTGTGTTGCAGCACACAAGGATCACAATCCGGCCTTGGTCTGATGGGAATAAAACACGATGAAGGGAGGAGTGCTTGTTAAACTGCCAAGTTTTTAAGCAAAGTCTTTTGTTAAGATATTTTTAATTACTTTAAATATTGATGTCTTTGTAAAGATCTCTTACCATAAGAACAATAGGCTTTCACTTTGTATCTTCTACAATGTCTAAAAATAAAAGCCATTCAAAGTGTCTTAAAGCACAAAAGCTTTTCCATTAACCCTTCTTGCTGTGGGAAGGTCGAGCCAGGCAGGTTCTTAGGCAGCTGGAGCAGTGCTCCATAGGAGCTGGGCAGGATTGGCCTGTGGATGTCATTCCTTGCTGGACACCAAGGTACCAGCTGGGGACCTCCCCTGGAACATTAACCAGGCAGCAGCTGCTCAGCAGTTAACAGCTACCCCAGGAACTGCCTGGATTTCTGGAACTGTGCAGTGCCAACTCCTGAAGTGGAGTCACTGCCTCCTTTCTGGGAAAGTGCTGTACTTAGTCCATGGAAAGGAGGAATTGGTGATTCATACTGCTTGGACCATCTCCACTTTCTCCTCCCTCCCTGACCACCCCACCCTCCCCTCACACACAAAAAAAAAGAAAAAAGAAGTTTCCTTGTGGCTGTGGGAGGGGCAAGGGATGTTTTAAGGAAAGCACATGGCTGTGCACTTTGCACAGCATCGCTTTCCACAGGGAGCTGGAAGCAGCATGAGGTGATTTGCAACCTGTCCTTTGCAGCCACTGCCACTTGAAATATAGGCTGCTTGAGCATCGCTTGTTTATAAAGAATTTCCAAGCAAAAAGATGCTGAGGAGAGTTTTAGGCACTCAGAAAAAAAAATTAAAAGGAAATGTTTGTTAAAAGGTTTGACCATGAGATGAGGGATTTTTTCATGTGAATTGGAATAGGCCAAGATAAATCTAAAATAGTTATAATTCCAGAAATTATTAAATACAGCTGATGGAATATTTACACCCTCCTAGTTTCCAACTAAGTTCACTGTGTTGGGCTGGGCTCTCTCCTTATGTTGGGATTTGGAAGGTGGGAGTTGCTGCATGGAGGAGCAGGCACAAATACAGGAAAGCAGGAGAAAGGCAAGTTCAGCACAAGCCCAGAAGCAGCAGTGAGCAGGCAGGAGATGCTCATGTCAGTGTCATTAATGGCTAAATTTAAAGCCACATGAAAATTAAATCTATTATTCAGCAAGAAGAATGCAGCCAATTTTTACTCACACAAAGGTATTTTGGCCACTCCAAGTCAGCCTGGCATTCCTGTGGCTGCAGCGATTGCAAGCTGGCATACACAAGAACATCAGTGCTACTACAGCCTGTGAAAGGGAGCCAGTGCCTTCAGCTGCACAGGCAGCCCCTGCTGCTGAGCCAGTCCAGAAGAGACCGGGAGCTCAGGGCAGACTGACCCCAGCACTCATCCCTCTCTAAGGATTTACTCCTGTTCAGGCTGTTCACATCCAGCATCTCCTTGTTGCAGACACTTGCACTGCAAAGTTGAAAAAAAAAAAACCAGCTAGTTTTCCTTCCACACGCTTAAAAATTATGTGGTCACCTCTCTGCCAGGACTTAGTGAGCATCCAGGAGTCCTGCTTGAGAAACTCACATGACAAATAAAACTAGCAAGAGTCCTATTCATAGGCATGAAAAAATAAGTAATTTGTCCCTTTTTAATTGAAAAATGTAAAAAGGACTTCAACTTTAAATAAGACATTTTGTACAAAGCTTGAGCACAAAAAAGTGAACACCAATGTGTCGTTATGTAAACACCACAAATGTTACTCATTTGTTCAGTAACGCACAGAACAGCGTGCAAGTTCCCTTTCCAGTGGGTGAGATTTCTGTAGCTGTTCCCCTCCCCTCAGACCTTACTGGAATACAGGAAACCCAGAAGCTTTGGAACATTTACAGGCTACAGTAGTCAGGATACACTGTGACTAAAAGAATTTTTTTGTTTTTTTCTTTAAGGGGTTGGTCATTTAAATATACAGAAGTACAATAATTTCACAGGTAAATGAATGGCAGCTTGGATTAGAAAAAGCACCAAAATATTTAATATACATCTGGCACAAATTTCACAAGAAGTCAGTAATGGACAAACCAATGTTTTGCTTGTAAGAAAAGAAAAACCTCAGACTGTACTTAATGCTCTTCTTCCAAAAGGGACACAACAAGAACATTGCACTCAGGATTGCTATCAAGTAAAGACAACCTTCTTATCACACCCTATTTGCATTGTGCCTTAGATTGCACATTCCATAAGATGCTGTTTCCATTCTGTTCCAGACACCTATGGTGAGAAAATTTGATGTAAGAAAGGTAACTGTAAAACTACAAACCAAACCAATTCAGTAGATTGGGATTCAGTAGATGCATTGCCCTGGAATTCTCCCAATTCTCTAGATCAGGTTTCAAATTTGGCTGCATCCCTTTGAATTAAAGATCCTACACGAAACAGAATTTACTCCAGCTGTTTTCAAGCATTACATTTTATAGCACTTCTGATAGTGCTGTCCCAAAGAGGAACCACGGGGCTGCTCCGTGACCTGCGACACATTCATCATTTCCCAGAGTGAGAAAACTGCCTCATACAGGGTTATCTCCTGGGTAAGTCTGAAAAGGCAAAACACCCCCAGGCACAAAGAACAGCAGATGTGATCCTGCCCACCCTGGCTGGTTCACTGGGGAGCCCAGAGGCCCATCAGGGAGCTGTGCTCACAGAGATGCAGTGACAGCCACACAAAGCCCTGCTCCCGTTACTTCCTCAGTCACACTGAGTTCCTTCTCTGGGAGCAAACACTACCAAAACACCTTCCTTCCACAGAGAGGGACTTGAGGCTGAACTGGGGCCTCAAGACCCACAAGAAAGAAATGAGGCTGCACCAAGCAGTGCTCCCAGGCTGACCCTTCTCCACACAGCCCATCAAGGCCTTGTGGTTGCTTCATGCCCTCAAGACCAGCCCGTGCAAACCCCAACAGCGCTGGCTCAGGACACAATCCTGCCAGTCCCATCCACGGCTCCTGGAACTTGAGTTACTCAACAACTCACAGCACGAGGCCCTCCAACCCTCCAAGTGTATTTTCAAATAACTTTCTTGAGCATGACTTAAAAAGTCACAACTTCCAATATGGAGCACTAATCTGTGAAGTCCTCTAACGTGTAACACACATGAGAGCAGCAGCCAGCCTTCAGCTCACCAATCCTCTGTGCAGGTTTGCCAGCTCTGGTCACACAATCTCCACTCTCACAGGCTCAGAGAAGAGCAAGAGTCAGCAGTTGTAACTGCATAAAATGGCAACATTCAAGTAAACACACTGCTTCAACAGTAGGCAACCTTTAGTCCAGATAAAATTTACAGGACATAAAAAGAAACACTTTACAGCACAAACACTGGAGATGGACTATTTTTCCTGTGTGTGAAATAACACGTTATCCAAAAAGGGCTTATCTGAAGAGTGCAATTACGCAAAGATAGAAACTTATTAAAAATTAAACAAAAAAAAGTATTACCTACAGAACCTGTTGGATTTTCAAAGACTGAGGATTGCAATAGTAGCAAGGAACCGCTGCAATGTCAGTGATTTAAGGCAAGCTGTTAGGACAAGAACATACATGCTCTTTTTACCTACTGTCTCACATGTTCCCCTGTTCTCTTAAAATACATGCCCATCCTGAGAGTGCAAAAAGTCACACCCAAAACCAGCCTCACACTGGAAGGATCTTGCAGCAGCAGCTGCCACAGCATCGCACTATGGTGGATTTGCCACGACAGCAACCGTGCTGCAGTTTGCTTTGGGGGAGGAGAGGAAGGGCACAGATGTGCTGCATGGAGAATAACCCCCCAATGCATTAATGAACACAGCTGAGCACCAAAGCCACTCTGGCATCTCCAGTTCTCTTGAGAACACTCCAGCTTTACTCAAGCACAAGGGTTTTATCCTGAGCGGGATTCTGACCTCAGGGAGAAAAAGGATGCGTGTAGCCTTTGCACTTTGGCAGCTCCCATCTTTGCTGGGTGGTTACAAGTCTGGTCCAACATGGAACAAAACACAGTATTTCTGATTAGAAAAAAAAAAAAATACACTCATGGCACTGCATCAGGTGGGTTCCTAAAGCTTTTCAAGGGCAAATGAAAAGGCTGATGGCTCCCTCTTGGGGAGCAGCTGCTCTATCTTCAATTCACTGTCAGCACAGGCAGCCTGACCAGGGAAGAGGATGTGGTGGTGGCAGAAGCCCCTGAGCCTGAGGCCACGTAGCTCTGCTCGGTCGCTCTATTGCACTCCAAAAGTAGCACCCGGGAGGACCAACTCTGGTTTGCAGCTTGACCCGGCCCCCTTCCAAAGGGTCCTTTGCATACAGGTTAAACACAGGATACCAAAAACTATGGCAAATAGATAATACTTAACTTGGGTCAATTAAAAAAAATAGATTATTCATATCCAGGCATAAAATCCTGGGACAAAAGGATGGTAGCCTTAAACTATTCAAGTCTAAGAACAAGAGGTAGAGATACCTACGTACTTCATGGTGAAGGAGTTACAGCCTTCTTTCTGTCTTACAATCTCATGAATTTCACTTCAGTTCACACTATAAAACCAAAGGTTCGATCTTCAATAGACCAGAGAGAAAATGTTAACACTGGTGGGTTTGTTTGCACACAATACAATTTAAGTAGACACTTTAATACTTATTTGTAAAAAATATGTTTTTCTCCACAGCACTACTCTGAAGAATTTTGAGTTTCAGGTTAAGCATCTTCCTTTTTAATATGATAGGCTAAATCCACATGCACATACTTTGAGCAGAGTGGGCTCAAGGGAAGAACTGCGTGCCCAATTTACTGAGGACCTTCTAAAAAAGCATCACACTGCAGAATGCAAGGCTGCAAGACCCAGGAACTCACAATGAATTATTATTTACCAAAGAATGGGAATGATGTAACCTCAGCCAACAAACTGTATCACAACTGAGGTGGCTATTAACTACATGGTGTTTCTTTAACTTTGTTGGGCTTTTTTGGAAACAAGGCTCATGTTGACAGTGTCACAAAAAGTCTAAGGTCACTGGTCAGGGCACAGGCCTGGGAACCACTGTGACAGGCTACTCCTGGATCCATGGGTTCTTCAGGCTCTGATGGACACAGAGAGAAATAAAAGTCACCCAGCAGAGCTGCTGCTGCCCCCCAGCACTGTCCACAAGAGGAGGGGCTGCACCCTCTGCCACCAGCCCGAGCCACTCTGTCCTCAGCAGAGCAGCCTGAGCTCATTTCATGCTCTGAACTGGGCTTGGCAGAGAACTGTCCTGGCTCAGAGCTGTACCAGGAGATCTCTTGGGCCAGCCTGGGGGAGCAGCTCTCACAGTCCCAGCTGCTCTTGTGCCACCTGCCAGACCTGTGGCCATTTTCCTGTGGTCCTTTCACTAGGATTGCACAGTACTAAAAAGCTGTAATTCTCCATGTAGAATAGCACCAGCAGCAAATAAACTCAGGATTTGGTGTTCAATTCCAACTCATTGCCTCAGTCATGTTTTATGGCCAGCTATGGGCAGGATCTTTCAAATCCTAACTTGAATCAATAGATAGTCTTTGACCTCAGAAACACACCCACACAAGTAAAAATTAGCACAATTAAGCCTCCAATTGAACTGGAAGCCAAATTTTAAAGGTGTTGCAAGATATAATATCATGTAGGTGGTCAGTGTTTTATTACTAGGGGCTACAGTTTACAGGAGTTGTATTTCTTTGCATATAAGAGAAGGCAGTCAAATGCCACAGACTGTGGATATCAGACCAATTTTCCAGTATATTACTCCAACTATCTATATAGTTATCTATAGTTATTTATCCCAAGTTGCAGCAGATTCACTACATGCATAAAGTTTCCTAATGCATAATCTAATTTTTAAAAAATTAAACAGTTGCAATGGTTTCAAGGATTCCATCAGCATCACTGCTCACTTCCTGTCCCCTACACAATGAAGAATTATATAAAAATGAAGAGTGAATGTATTTGGCCTGTTCCGCAGATATTCACAGTTTAACCATTAAACAAGCACATATTCAGAGGCTCCAATATCATTAAAGACTTCTCAGAGACACACACAAACCCTGCTCCCTCACCCCAACATTACAGAGTCCAGGCAGTCTCATCTGGGACCACAAAACCACCAGGCAATCCAAGAGAAGGTCTGACAGCCCCACTCACTGCCAGCACTGCCACAGAGCTGCAGCTTCAGCTCCTGATTCAGGAGTTTAAAACTGACACAGGTCTGGTTTGCATTCTGTAAATTATAATTAAAGGACTAAAATTAGGCTAAAGATAAGTGATACTTTGCTAGATGGATCATCTGGCTATTTTTGCAAGTTCCCTGCCCAGTGGGTGGAGTTGCTCCTGCCTGGCTGGAAGCAGCAGAACAGGAGCAGGACTGTCTCCCACACTGAACACGTGGGTAATGGTATGTCCTTTCCCCAACGGGAAACCAGATTTTCCCTTCCTGTGTGTTCACCTCTGCCTTTAAAAAGCAGCTGTGTTACCTCTGACACATTAAAATGGCTGAGCCCGATGCACTACAGATTGATTTCCTTACTGCTGTCCACATTCCAACCACAAGATAAACACCTTCTTTAAAGAGCTCTATCCCTCATCCTCTGGGGCTGCTGCATTCTAGGGTGTAAATCAGAAGCTGCCATCTGGTGAGCTACCCACTTGAATAGTTACTCTTCACACTCTGGCCATTTTATATTTCCTTTAGGGGGAAAATAAATAAGTGATGAACAAAGCATTTAATAGCTGAATGAATGAAGAGCCTCCAACTGACAAATACAGTCTTCATTTACTATCAAATCAGTCTCCATTTGGAACTTTTCCTAACAAAGCAACCTCTGTTGGGGCATTTATTTTAGTCTTTTAAAAATAACAGCACCAGAAAAAGTCTCACCATAAATTCAACTAGTCCAGCAAGAGTGCTTTGGCCTGCTTTGCTCCCCAAATCAGAATAAGGTTTTGCTGCCAAACAATTCTGTGCCACAGAAAGTTGGAAGAAGGAGGGACAAAGCTTTGGGTGTATTTACCCATAAAGCAGCAACTTTAGGGCTCCCCTGCAAAGGGACAGACTCAGCTGCATCTAAAACAACCACATTTGTTTTCCACAGCTTGTTTCCCAGCAAGAGCAGCAGGGACCACACTCTCCTTTTATTAGATGAAGGAGATGCTATCTGTGGCTTGTGGGTTTGTTTTTAAACAGTTTGCATTACCCACATTTTGTTAGTGATTTATGACCGCCAAGCCAAGCTACTGCAGGGCTGCACACCAGCAAAGCCAGTCCCAAAATTTGGGTAGATTCTACTCCTCTCTCTGCTGATCCCTGTGGAGCACAACATATGTGCAAACCATGACACTCTGGACCTGGTGACAAGCACACCATTAAAACCTGTTTCCCTTTAGTTTTAAAACCCTTATATCACAAAAGCCATTAGATGCTATGGATGACTGTCCAGGCTTTTTGCTTTGTTTTTTTTTCAGTTGAAGTTGGTTTATGATCCTGAAATGCAGCTCTGAAAATAAAAGGTGTGTAACAGAAGTGTATCAAATTCATTAAGCCAGCACTTGGCTATACAGAAAGCCTTGGCAATCAAACCTTTTACCAAAAGGTGTAAAAAAGTTGACATACTAAAATTAAAAAAGGTAGCATCAATAACCAAAAAAGTTTCAACCAGTGTTAATAAAACTCCCTTTAAGTCACAACAATTTCAACAGGCAAATAGTCCCAATACAGGCATTGTAAAATAATAAATTGACTCCTATCCAAATATTATCAAATCAGTCTAAAAATGACTCATCTACACTGCTGTCATTAAGAACACATTAAGAATTCACTTTGTCATCAGATGCCGATATTGTTGCTCCAGAAAGTGTGGTGTATTAACTGCAATTTAGCAATTAAACATATGCTTTAAAAAATTGGTTTGTCAATATTAATGCAAAAGATAGTTCCTTACATAGAAGTACTGTGCTTGCCAGACAAGTAAGGTAATACTTTAGGTATAAATCAAACAAATTAAAGCAGAATTATACCACAGTTTTCCTTGAAGACTTAGGATTTGTGTGTTGCTTCTCGCAATGTTTAGCAAACTTAAGAAGCAGAACCTTTGGTTCTTTTAGTCAAGTAAAAATATTCTCATGTAACCACAAAAATACAACTTCCAGAGAAAATGGAAGTCCATCAACAAGTCCACTTTCAATAAAACTGAGGTAGTACTGCTCTTTTATTACATGAATGTGTAAAGAGATTTAGATATAAATCGTCATCTACCACTCAGTTGACTGACAGGTACAGTAATTTTATAAAACAATCCCAACATTTAGTTTCAAAGTCCAAAAAAGGAATGATCTGGACTCATTCACTAGGAGTTAGCTCAAAGTGGGAATTAGCCATATTACAAAAAGCTGTTGCTTATGTTGGTTTTTAGAGCCTTATTAACCAAGATTAATGCATTTATAGTTAACACTGCTGTTCATCTCGGTATAAAACCTTAAAATTATTACAGCCTAAAATTTCAACAATGTAAACAGCACTACACACAGTACAGACCTGCCCTGACAGATGTAGTATGAAAAACTTAATCTGGCACTGTATAATTTAGCAATGTTAATTTAACCTAACTAAAAAGATCTACATTGTGCAAGAAGTATCAGACTTACTTATACTAATCTGAAGTCTTAAAAAAAAAAAAAAAAAAAAAAAAAAAAAAAAAAAAAGCTTAACTTGTAGCCAGGGTCAAATATTTCAGGGCAAAAGTAAAAGGAATAACCAAAATTAAGAAAGTGCCTAAAACATGATACAGCATTTTAGAGCCCTTTCATAGACAAGGCAGAAAAAGGTGTAAAGTAGAAAAATCTGGAGCCTCGGTAATTTCCAGAAACATCCAGAGTTACATTTTGTGAAGGGCAACAAGTTGCTTTTGTCACTGCTGCTTTGCCACCGCTAAGTCTGTTCGTCCGCACACAGGCCCTCTGTGTCCGAAGACAGAACACATTTGGTTTCCTCTTCCTTTTTCCTTCGCTCCATTTCCCACTCCACAAAGGTATCGAAGAGACTCGGCCAGGCCTCGTCCTCGCTGTAGTTGCTAAGGTCCGGTCCAATCACCTGAGTAAAATTTAGAAACATGTTCCATGTGTCCCGGGAGATTCCCTTGATTCCTGAGGGGTTCTTGATTAGGAAGTGTAACCACTGGTCCAAAATAGGGGGCTTGTTTTGGGTGAAGACTAATTTCCAAAGGGCAATGGCTATTTCCCGATGTAGCGACCTCTGTCCTTCTTCAGAGTCCAGGCCAAACTGGAAGGTGAAACGATAGAGATCCTTGAATTTATCCTCCTGCTTGGCTTCATTAAGGAGGCTGGGGAACCTTGCACAAATGCCATCAATGCTGTCTGCATTTATGGCTTTGCAGCCTTCAAAAAACTCCTTCCTGTTAAGCAAGAGCAGAAAAATTAGTGAGCCCCTCCCACCAACCTCACAAACACATCCCGTCTCCGTTCAGCTACACCGAATCTAAGAGAGTCACCTGGACAAGACAAGGTGTACCCTCAGCCCCAGTGGCACACAGATTTTGGCAACAAGAGCCACTGGAAAGACAGACAGTTCCAAGGCATTCCTTAAGGCCTGGGGAACCACACACGACCCCCAGATCTGCTGGGGCACTGTTAACATTTGAAAGATTCTGTTCTCTGGCTTTTCTGGACACTTCCACATCCTGGAATGCCTTTCACATTAAAAAGTTAATCTAATTTGCCACAGAAGAAATTCTAAATGTTTGAAACTAACACTTTTACCCCAATTTGATTCAATACTGCTGATGTTTAAATGCCCATGCTCTGAGCAAGCCGTTTGCAAGGGACAGAGCAGTTCACTTCTACTTTTGCTGTGTTTTTTGGTTGCTCTTTCAGCCTGCAAAACCAAAGAGGAGCCACTGGTGTCAGTCAGCAAGGCATCTGCTGAGAGCATGGAAGGAAGCACAGCCTCACAGGGGCTACAGCACAATGTATGGACACTGCTCGAAGCACCAGCCCTGTACCAAGTGGCCAAGTGGGACACGTTTAGCTCCAGTTTCTCTGATGCTTGTGAGAAGGTGTTGCAACCAGCCAGGAGAGCCAGCAGGCTGACACAGGACGGGCTGGAGGCAACAGAGGTGGAGCAGCACTCAGGAGAACAGACCACAGTGCTTTCCTTGATGGAAGAATCCATCAGCACCTGTACCATGGAGCATGCCCTTCACCAAATATAACCTCTCACAACTACATGTGTCCTCTCCAAGGAAATTAAAACCATGTTAATAATACTCATGGTAGTTGTGCAGAATCACAGACACTACTTACAATGCCTTCACCATCTTAGCAAATACCTGCATCATCAGCCTCCAGTAAATCCACATTTGCATTCCAGAGTAACTCATCCCTTTGACACACACCCTCAGTCACAAAGACTCTGAAGATGCTGTCCAGTGCACAGCAGAGGCTTGGGTCAAGGCTCTGAACACCAAAGCAATAAGCTCAGTAAAAATAAGCAGCATGACTCAAACCAATCTAGATAGATCAAAATATAAGAAATTCCTTCTCTCCCTGCCAATCCTTGTAGGCAGTCTCCCTTGCTCTCACCTGGACATTGCTAATCAAGCTGGGGGACTCTGCTGCAGTTTGGGTTTGCCTACTGCTTTGTGGGGGGAGTTTTAGCCATTCCATTGTTTTCTGTAGCATGACACATGCTGTCAGCTGGCTGACTGAGCCCTTGTCCAGAAGGGCACAAAGCACTTTGAACAGCAATCATTTGTCAGCTAGTATGAAGAAGCTACAAGTGTCAGAACCCTCACATTTCCTTCCCTCTCTACGCTTTAACAAGATTACTCTTGGAAAAAGACATTAAGTGTTACACTGGTTGGACAGGAACAATTCTGTCATTCTTTCACAGACTGTTAACAAAGTTAGTAGCAATTACTAAAGAAGCTCACATTATTTTAAAGGAAAAATTAATTTCAGTGGCCAGTCTCATCACAAAGATAATGCTGGATACAGTAAATTGCTTCTGGTAAATCAAGAATAAATTAATGTCTACAGAATCTCACAACACTGTTCATCACTAGCAGCATAATGACCAAAACCACATCTTCTAAAATCCAGTGTGAGGGGAAGGGGAAAAGAAGACCAAAGCTTACCTTCTACAGAGGCAGGAATTATTTTGATCAAAATGCAAGTGTTAGAAGAAATAAGTAAGTGAAGCTAATGAGGCTGTCTCTCCAACATACTGCTGACAGGATATACTTTAACATATGAAAATAATTACAAGTTCTACAAGAACTAACCTTGTAAATTTGCACATGGTAGCAGCCTGAAATTTCCAAGCCAAAACTAGTACTTTAAATTCAGTGGGATCAACACAGAGGTCATTGCAAAATCGTTCCATTCCTTCTTCCAGTATGGCATCTTCCCGCTCGTCCTTATACCTCCTGAATAACTCCCCAATCCTTTGTAGAGAGGATTCCTCTGCACTGCAAACAGAGTCTTTCTTTGTATCTCCAGAAAATGTCGGAGGCTGACTGGACTCTACAGCAGCGTCTGTTTTCTTTGTCCCGTTCACAAGAATGTCTCCTGAAGCCTTCCCGCAAGCTGAGCCATGGTCGTCTTTGTGGACTGCACTTCTCTTGCTGTGGGACTTGCTGCCAGATTCTCTCTCCCCATTTTTGCTGCCAAGGGTAGAAGAAGGGTTCTTGCACTTGGTGACACACTGGCCCATGATGTTGTAAGCCCAGCTCCTAGCGTGGTCCCCCTGCCCTTGGACACCCTCGCAGCTGCTCTTCAACACATCTCACCATGCCATTAGCAGCACTCAGCTAACCTGAAAAACAGTTTCAGAGTCAAACTGCTGTCTCTCTATAAAGAGCAGCTGAAGTATTAAATGTGGGATAACACTTGCCATTAAGAGACTGACTTCAGGATATTTAAGCTTTGCATACTGAAAAGGAGCAGTGTACACAAGGCTGGAATATGCCATAAATTTCAGGCAATTTCGGGCTGTTTTACCTAGAAATCAATGCAGCTCACTCAGTGGCTACACTATACTAACGGGTCCTAATAAAGGAAATTCCTAAAATTCTTACTGCAGCATAGGTTACAAAGAGGTTGATTCATGTACAGGCTTCGTCACAACAGACTACTCTAACCCAGAAATACTTTAAAGGAAATGGTTTTTAAAGTATACCCACATTTTGTATATAGAATATAAAACACTGAAACAAAGCAGGGAAGGGAGGATAAGGACACTGTTGAGATCACATGCTAGAGATTTAAGCATTAGATCTAGACTGCACCCCCAGCAAATCAGAAAAAGGGACTTCTCATGGAAGGGGGGAGCAGGGCTGTTGGCTGGTTTTGGGGAGGAGGAGAGAGAGTGAAAGTTGCGTGTTTGTTTTTAAGCAGAGTTTGGAATCTAGGTTTTGTACTTAAAACATACACAGAGTGTGTCTGCAGAAAGGAGGCAACACTTCTTATGCAAGAGGGTATTCAGAAATTGTTCATTGTTTCAAGTGGGCTCCTCCCCTCAGGTAAGGAGACAGGGGAGGGAGCCTTCTTAATGAAACTTCTTCAAACCAACACACATGCAGATAAGAAGTAGTAATTCCAGGTCAGAGGAGGTTTTTTTTAACAAAAATTAAAATGCCAAAATGATTTCATCATACTCTCTTTTTATAAATCAGAAAGCCCTGCGTATTTGGAAAAAATATTTTGCCCAGTGAAAAGGGCTCTCCAATTTTCCCTGTTAAAACCAATCTAACACTGACACTGCCCTATCAGCAAGCAGCCACACCAAGGACAGTCTGCTTCTCAGAAATGTCAGCTCCAAGAAAGCAATTGCTTATCATAGTCCTCCTTTACCCACTAATTTGCATTTCACCTCTGCTGTCAGTTAGGCAAAAGCTTCAAACATAAAAATTGGGTTTGCTTTGACTTTGTGTACACCTTCCAGTTTAGAATTAGAACAAGAAAGAGAAGAGATAAAAAATTTAAAATTAAGAAATACAATAGCTGTCATGTAAGTTTTACTGTATTCTTTCTTGGGCAAAGCTTTACTGAGACTGAAGTCCTCTTTAAAGCTGTAAACCAACAGCAGCAATAAGTACAGATGAATTCTCAGATATTAGGATTATAAAAATAAATGTCTCAGCTATATCTGTTTTGACAAAACAGTACGTGTGCAGCTTCATGAGCAAAAAATTTTGCCAGTGGAACTACAACAGCAAAGATGCTGGTTTTGACTACCTGGCTTCCCTTTCCCTCTCCAGTCCCTTTTCTTAAGCACATAACCCACACACAAAACTAGCAAATACCTATTTTTTTAAGCAAAGGAAGAAAGGTATTATATATTCTTTCATCTCAATGTTTTAAAGATTGACTTTGCAGCATCATTTTTATAGGCAAGCAAAATTTGATTTAAAGTATTCAAGAAATTTGCAATAATTTGTATTTGAAAGGATTTATAAAAATATGCATGTCGATATAAATGATCCATAAGGCAATTTCACTGGTCCTTAGTATTTCACAGCTCTGCGAGTTGCAGTGCACAGCCTGGCACAGATTTCTGTGCTGCCAGGTGCCTGAGCAACATCATCCTCTCCAGTCTACACCAGTCATTATTTCATTACACCAAAACAAACAGGATACTAGTAGGCAGTATAAAAACTGCTTAGTGATTAACTCCCACATACCAGCTTTCCCCTCCCAATCTTTAAATTCATCTGAATTCAAATGCTCAATCTACACTAATTCTTGCTCTTCCATCAGTTTCTCAGCTAGCACGACACTGGACAAATTTTTCTTTAGAGAGAAGCATGCAGCTAAAAGAACAGAATAAAACATCCTGAGTTCAGACTAGCAATAGAGTTTAAAGCAGAGTTTAGGTAGTATAGAAAACTTTCTGCTCGAAGATGTAACAGCAGTTATTAGCTATTGGTGATTTGGAGCAGCTTTGCCCTACGGGGAAGGTTAAGGAACAGCTGCCATTAGTGAACAGTACTTTCCTCTAAAGTAGTCAAATCACACACATCATAATTGACAGATTAATCCAATTCACTTGAGGAATCTCAATTTTAATTTTTTTAAAGGCAGTTTGCAAGATGACATACTGTGTCCATAATTTTCCTAATAAAAGTGACTAATGCTGTCATGCTTCCTAAGCAACAACTTGTATTAATGATAACAATCTAATGTTCAGGTTTCCAAAGTTACATCACCGGTGTGATGAAACTGATGGGCTTTAAAGTCATTTGCTGTCACAAAAAGAGCACTACAATTCACAGAGAAAGGATCTGCCAGCATTATTAGACACCTGTATGTAAGGAGGTGTCCCATGGCAGTTTCCAAAAACAAGCAATCCCAGTAGCATTAACCCCTAGAGGGTAAGTTATCCTCCTCCCTCACATTGTACCCCTCTAACAAAAACATCTTCTGTACTCCTACTTGACTTACAAAGAGCTGAATGCTGCTCCTGAACAGCCACTGCATGGGCACTGCTAGCTCTTACCTTCCTCTTCACTGCTCTTCCCTGCAGTAACAGAGTTCTTCTTTCCTCCTTCCCACCAAGGAAGTTTTCAGAGCACAGTCCTACTCCTTATGAACAAACACTAGAAGATACTGATGCACAGTTGCTGTAATTCCTCACTTTTCTTCTACAAGAAACTTGATGCCATGTGCCAGATACTTAGAAGCATTCTACCCCAAAAATAGCAAAACCAGATTGGGAAAAAAAAAAAAAAAAAAACCCAGACTGCATCCGCTGGCAGCTTGTGGATGTATCTGGTTTTGTAAGAGAAAAGACTTTTGGCAGTCCATCAGTTACCCTTTTGTAAATTGCCTTGTGAGCTGGATCCACTTCACTAACTAGTCACCTCAGCTTCCTACGTGACTCAGGTTTCAAGGCATGAAAGGAACAAGAGCCGTGGAAGGAGACAGAAACAAGTGGGAGAAGTCGGTCCTTTTGTTATGGAAGGCTGGAGAGAGGATCTAATTGCAGCATCAGGAGCTGCAGTGAAGCCAGAGCTCAAGGAGTGGGAGAGAGCACCCTCAGAAAGGTGAACAGAGCTGTGTGTTCAGCTCCAGAGCAAAGCGACTGTCACACAGCACAAGGACCTGCAGAGAGATTTCTCCCAGCTGGATCAGGAACTACAAGTTCTTGTGTACCCAAAGGTTAGACTGGATTGGTGGCAAAGCATCAATTCCCAAAAGCATCAGTTCCCAAGAGCAAAATCACTAAGAGGCTTGTACAGCATAAAAGCAAGACATAGAAGGCAGCAGTGACCACTGCTTTTGCTATTCTACTAAAAAGGATCAAAATTCAGGGCTAAGGTTGGAATGTGTTCAGTGCTACAGGATGCAGTGCTCCCAAAGAAGTCTATTACTCAGAAAAGCATTGAGCAATGATCTCCAGTACATATTAATCACCAAGATGCCCATGAGGCCATTTTCCTCTTTCAAAGCAGAGATCCACAGTGACCTTCTCTGCACCTTTCTAGAAAGGAGTCAGCAGCTGGTAACACAGGAAGATGAGTGCTGAATACAGCCAGCTAAAGCAAAGTCACCTCTAAGAGCCATATGGCCCCACACATTAAATGAAAACCTAGAGAAGATTACAAAGGCCTTGGCTAATGCTTGGTGGGGCTTTTTGATTTCGTAGGGGTTTTGTGTGGGACCTTTTTCTAAGTGCTGTAAGGAATTTGTAACATTTTTCCTCTATTTTCAAGTGGACAAATCACACATAACCTAGAACTTGAAGGGAGCAAAACAAAGTGACTCAGTAATAACTCTCAATCATACAAGCACACCGTGGCACAATTGAAAACAGCAGTAATGAAGTGTGGGGGGGAGCTGGCAGGAGGAGAGAAGATGCAAAGGAGATATTTCAGTAACCCGGTATTTTTCTATAATGACTGATGTTATTGTAGTAATAGAAATTATTGGATATGTCCAGAGAATAACAAGCAAAACAAGCATTATGCTGCTTAATAAAGTGTTGCATCAGAAGGTATTTGTAATGAGTTTCAAAACACAGAAAGTATCAAGAGAGTAGAGAAAAAGCATTCCATACATTCAAGAAGACCTCAAAGACAAATTTAGGAAATCTCATAACAAAAGGGGAGACAGCTCAGCCAACCATTAAATCCCTTTCCAAGTAGCATTTCACTAGCTAAGGCAGAGACAACATAACTAGAGCTTAACTAAGCCTCAACCCAGCCTCAGCTTTTCACAAACACCTGAGCATAGTCTAAGAATTTTACAGAATTCCACTATGTATTATTTACCTTTCAATGGATAGGACACATGACTTTAAAGAGAGCCGAGAGTAGGGAATAGTATCATGGATGCCCTGTCGGTTTCCAGCCCTGAAGAGATGCACAGAGCTTCCCAGTGGGGCGGCAGGAGACGCTCACTGCCACTGCTGCAGCAGAGGCAATTGCTGCTCTAACAACGGCGCTGGACAAGTGGTCTTGTAAGCAAACATCTAATACTTACACAGTTTGAGCTGCACAGGGAATCATTCCACTAGCTTCACAGCGTCCTTCAGGCTCCCTGGGTTCTACATAGAATGCTGGAAGACAAAAGACCACACAAATCTTTACATTTAGAAAGGCTATGAAAACCATGAAATGCACCAAATGCTGAGAGACAACGGTGTATTTAATAAAACTGTTCAGAGCCAAACTCCATTTATTCAGAGTCATTTTATGAAAAACTACTTCACTTTTTTGACTCACAAAGTAGCATTAACACCATTAACTCTGCATTGTCATATAAACCATAGAACAGGTTTGTTTGGAGTAAATACACATTTCTGGATACTTTCATGGCTTTGGGAGCATGGGAGCATTAATTCCTCATTTTATGCACTCAAAGCAAAGCAGAGGACATGCTATCACTGTCACTGCACGTTAGCTGAGCACTGTTTAATCTGTGAATGCCAGACAGCTGCTACCTAGCAAAGCATAATTTGGGTCTGGAGAGTAATTCTCTTTTTTCATTCTCTAGCACATTCTTTTCCATGTTTGTTTTCCCATGTTCAGTCGAGCTGGCTCCACTTTGCTACTCTTAAATTGGCAGCTTTGCTGTATAACTAGAAACCTCTGAAGAGGACAGACAAAGGTATGTCTGGTTTGTGTAGCAAGAGCTGCAACTGCAGCCCCTAGTCAACACCTCTGTACCTGACCTAGTAGAAAAACACAACAAACAAGAAATCTCTGGCAAAGCTGCCCTGCTCTACCATACTAACATAAAGACTAAAACATCTTGTTTTTACAGCTCTTAGTACATCTAGGGAGCAGACAGGTGATCAAAAGCTGCCTTGCTGCATACTTACCTTTTACATGAGATTTACTTCTTAGGAAACAAGTAGGAACATTAGCTTGTTCAGAGCTTCCTTCAGCAGAAAGAGGAGGAGGAATACAGAAAGACAACCATGAAACAACATCTTGTCACACATGCCAATCTCCATGAGTTTTCCCCAAACCTGAAGCCTATATGTGGATTAGGAAAATTTGACTGACACATAAAACTTAGTTCAGACCAAAGCTGTTGATAGAGCTTGAAAGCCCCAAACATTTCAAAATGCAGGAAACTCTGGAGTGTTTCACTCATATACACACACAGAGCAAAAATGTATCTCCACCGAATCATTTTTAGGCATTTATTGTTGAGATGGAGACCCAAAAGTCTATTTCACACTGGTATTCTGCTCCCAAACTTCATCTTCCACACAACCAACCACCCTTTTTCCCTCCTCCATGGCTTCACAGTTCTTTTAGCAGACACTCCAGTGGATGCACAGCCACAGGGCAGCTTAATGTGCCGGGGAGCAGAGGAATGTCTGCCTCTCTCACGGTGGAAGTACTAGCTTGAATTTCTTCCTATTTGACCAGGGCATGCCATGAATTTCAAGAATTTAAGAAAATGCAACATCTGGCACATCTATGTTAATTTCTTTTGGCCTCCTGCATCTAAATACTTCCTTTTATAAATCACCACAGAGGAAAACAGGGTGCTATGCAGCCTCATTCCCCAGGAACCTGTTTAAACATCTCACAGTTCACATTTTGAAAAATCATTGTCATGGCAACTTTTTGCAATGAACTACTTTTCAAACATATTTGTATTTCTTTGGAAGAGATCTATGATCCCATGATCCACCAAATTGACATTTCTAGTCGACATACTGCACATACTGGAAGCAAACACTTACTTCAAGTTCAAAAGAAGCTGAATCTGATGGAGATCAGCCCTACCCAGCAAAAGCCAAATTTTTTCAGGTTGTTTGAAGTAATTTCCATGTTTACTGACCTATACACACATGCACACTGACTGGACCCAGAAATTTTAGCATGTTAGAACCTTCTGCTACAATTCTTCCCCTCTCTTTATATTTCTATTCTTGAGTTGTCCATTTAATATTTTCAGATTTTTTAATGTAGTAGCATGTGTAAACTTTGACAACACAATCATGGGATATGGAACAAAAAGTCAGTATGAGTTAGCAGTTAAAAGATCAAGCTCTTCAAGGCTGTATTTAAAAGCTGTCATAGCACAGCAATGCACTGACTTCGCCCTAAATCATGCACAGTGAGTGCGGTGGGGGTGGAGAAGCAGCAGCACATTGGTAGCACAGGTTTTGGGTCAGTCCCTGGGCCAGAGCTGCAAGGTGCAGCTGCAGGCTGTAGTCACCAGCACCCCTCTCGCTGCACTGCTGTGGAGCAGCAGCATCACAGCACAGCAACTCAGACAACAGCCTGCACTGCTCATTAGCAACCACTGAGAAACCCACCGGGAGGGAAGTAAGTAAATAATGTGGACCCTTGGGATGATGGAGGCCTTTGTTTTGCTCATCTGGCTCTTTTCATAGCTGTGTCTAAGCCCCGGGACTTGGCTCTCCTGAGCACTGGGCAGGAGGATCAGTGCAGGCCCTCCACACCCCCAGCAGCTTTCCCAGAGGTAAAAGCAGGCAGCCTTCTCACCAAAAACAACTTTCTTTGCTCCCCTGTGGGGAATCAGTGAAGGAACAATGGTATTGTTTCCCTCTTCAGCAGGCAGAAATTGAAAGGATCAGCTCTACCTGGAAGCTTTCACTGAGCAGTTCAGAGTTCTACACCAGAGCTCCATGCACTTGGAGCACAAGTGTTACAGCACAGACCAAACTTCAGTCAAAGCCAGCATGTTACAGGAACTGCTTATTTCAAGTCAGAACCTGCAATGACACTTCCTCAGCAGAAGCCCTCTGAGTGCAGCACAATGGCACATTATGGGCTCTCATGAGCCCAAACACACCTCACCACATCCCCAACCAAGCGCTGCATAGCACCTGTGTCACGCTGATCTGCTCCACACCACTGCTGCACAAATACTTTTATGCAAAGTTACTCAAGAGGAAGTCTAAAAGCAGGAAGGTCCTGCTGCAATTAGTTAAAACAAATTATTAGTTTGTGAGGCTTCCTGCAGTTGAAGAACATTTCAATGAATTGCAGACAGTAATGGTTTTGTGGGCAGATACATGAGAACTTGACCAGTCTGTTCCAAAACAAGATAACAGAACTATTTCTGATTAAACTCAGTTTGAGCTTTGGAAACAAAACAGCTTTAGAAATGTTATCAAACTGGGTAAAATTTGTCTCTACAGAACATGCCTGCATACAGTAGAAGCTAGTTATACAGACACCTGAAAAAGCATCATGCAGAGTTCCAGCTGCCACTTGGCAGAAGGCTACATGGCAGTCTGGGGAAAACCAAGCCAGGCAGCAGCTATGTTAGAAGCCTGAATACTTTCTCAAATGAGAAGTGGGCTTCTCTGAGAAAAGTCATACTGGAAACGCTTAACTACTTTGGAAGAGAAGGACAGGTACAAAAATTAAAAAAAAAAATCAGGAACAATATTCTTCACTATATTTACAGTCCATAAAACTGGGCCAGGTCTCAGGGTCAAGAATCAGAGCTATCACCAAATCTCTTCCTAGAGGAAACCACCCCCCCCAGTCACCAGGATGCAGGCAAAAGTCTCTTTACCTGAGCCTTGACCTGTGCTGTCACTCCAAATCCAGAGCTTACTCATCAAAGGAGATTTTTCCATTCAACACTGGGCAGAAGAAACCTGCTTTCTGCACTCATGAAGAGCACCTGACTCTGCATGCACTCACAGAGCATGACACCACATTTCATGTTCAAAGTTCAACAAGTAGTCTCATGAAAAGGTGGAACAGATATTTCAGATCTGTAGTTCACTGTGTGCAGCTAATTGTGTAAGGCTAGCTTAAGGAAAAATGAATAATAATGTGAAAAATGACAGGCAGAGAAAGACTTGAGCACCTTACCACTTTTTCTTATGGAAGATACATTCCTTAAGTAGCTTTTTCAGCAGAAACAAATGCATCATCCTTGAATCCCTCCCTTCCCTTTACACTCTCTAACCACACAATACCTTACTTACTGATTGCTTCTCATTGTTTTTCCATTTGGCCCCATTAAAAAGTTTTCAATTGTTTCCTATTATGTGCTTCATCTTTCTTTATTAGGTGGGTGGAATGATTTGTTAGGATTATTGCATTTTCAAAAAACAAACCCAAGTCCGGTTAGCTAAACAGAATATAATTTTAGCAGGGTGCCTTCAGGTGCTTTTGTAATGTAAATAAATTAATGAACTAATTCAAGCAGCAGCAGTACTTGTTTTGAGAAGTCTATTTAAGCTATGAGCAAGACAATGGGCAGAGGGGAAATCAAGACAGCCACACAACAGGGCTGTTCAAGATCATGCCATCAGTTTTCAGTAAAGCTGAAACCAGAACCCAAATTAGATTCCATCCAATTCCCTACCTCATACATACTCAGACATGAACAAACTCATTTATTTCGCTGCACATAATTCAACCACCTTCAGAAAACAAAGGTTCAGTCACTGAGCAATTTATCTCCATCCATTTAAAAACTACCAATATTCCCCTTCTCCCTCAAGATCCTTGTCAAAGACCATAAAAAGTCCAGCATGTACAAAAAAAGCAAATAATCTTCTAATGGGAGTTCATGTGGTTTTTCCTTTTTCATGTGCAAAGGGTTGTAAAAGAAAAATCCTTCAGTATTTTTCCAGGGTACACTGTAACTTTTGCACAGCACGACAGACCTTTAACACCTCAGTATGTATTATGAATAATTAAAGCAGCTCATGCCAGGGGAAGAGCTACTCTGTGCTGACACAAACAGTTCACATTTCTACAGCAAAACTGCAGATTATGGGACCAAAGGAAACCACAGCCCCTGGGTATTCAACAGAGATGCAGCCCATGGAAAGCATCTGAAAGTAGTTGTGCTACAAATATTCACCTTACCCTGGCTCAATCCATTCTGCAAATTAACCTACGGAAAATTGCAATTCACTGCAGCCAAACCAGAATAACTTTGGAAAACCACCTCGGTCTACAATCTTCTTGGCTATGGAAAGAAAAACATTTACTTTTAAACTGAGCTAAGTGTGCAGAGATTTTCTTCTACACTGAGTTCAGCTATCAGATTTCACCCTGAAGTGTCTGAGGTGCCGTCACCAATTACATTCAGCTGAATATAATTCAGGTATATATCAAGTGACTCCTGTAATAATAGGATATGCTTAAACTAATTGTAGTAAGTGAATAGCTTCATATTTCTTGCTGTTCTCAACCATGAAGAAAAGACAGCAGTCACACAAAAAAGAAGCCCTTCCAGCAGCTCTGGCTAACAGTCTCCCTTCTGCAGCAGAAAGCAGCTGTGAGAACAGTGGCCCACACGGCACCCAATGCTGAAAGGACAAGTCTAAAGACAAGAACCAGACCACCTCATAGGATCCCTGCTGCCAGCAGATGCTCAGAAGGAATTTACAGAAGGCCCACTGGCATCTCAGTGAGTGTAATACAGTTTACAGGCTGCCAGCCAAAAGAATCACTCATTGCACACAGTTGTGAGGAACTTCAGTACCAGCTGACCACATAAATACTGGAATCATATCTAAGTTATGTACAACAAATTGTTTTAAGTGAAAGCACTGACATACGAAAGTGCCTTAAGAGTATATGCTTGGATTTTTAAACGGACTGCAGTTTCTAAAGCAGAAAATACACACAGTCACCTGCAAAAGCCCTAATTCTCTCTCCTGATTTGATTTGCAGCTTCCCTATTTCAGTGAACAACACCAACATTTCCTACTGTACAAAGGATGCTGCAGTATTTTGATGCTAACTGTATCAGTAGCTTCAAAGGAGCTCCTTTGAGTACTCAAACTTGGTCATCAGTTGTAACAAAGACACTCAACGCATACTTTTTTTTCGTAAGTTTTCACATATTTTTGATTTCTCTTGACATCCTGCACCCCACAAGAGACCAGTGTGTAGGTATCTATCCTGTGCTTCATGAGACATAATCACTAACTCCAATCACAGGTAACTGCTGGAAGCTAGAATACATCAGACCTTTGGCACTCCAGGCCACCCATTTACATGCTGATCCATAATACTCAAGGCTTTCTGTACAGACTCACTGGCAATGAAAATATTGAACAGTCAGCATATGACCAAAACCAAGAGTTAGGACATTTGTGTTTGTGAGTCTATTACTAAGCTACACATTCCTCCCACAATCATAGGTGCTAAGATGATTTTTTCCCTCCCTTTCCATTTTAAAACAAAAGGATAAGACTGACTGAATCACAAGTTCCAAAGTTGCAGGAGGAAAAGCATCATGCAAAAAAAAAAAAAATCAAAGAAAAAAAACTAGAAACTGTCACTTTCTGCTACTACATGGATGCAAAAATAAAGACTGGTATATTTCAGGAGCACATAATCCTTTTGGTTCAAAAAAAACCCACTTCTGTTCACTAAACAGGAAAAGTGAGACAACAAACAACTACGACTGTCATACTGTCTCTGGCAGTCTGACTTTGTGGGAATAACAAACTGTGACAGGAGGTCAGGAACAGCATTCTCACATTTTGCAAAGTAAGTTTTGTCTTTCACGAAACAGATGCTGTAGACAGAACAGCACTTATAACTATTCTTTCTGAGACACCAGAAGATTATACTAGCTTACTCTCTTTACTGGAATCCTGTCTCACCACCTATGCTTTTGTTGGTTTCTCTACAGTATTCATATTTCTGTGAAAGAGTTCTTTAATACTTACATCTAAATAGTCCCCTAACTGTCATTCTTCTAGCAGCAGAATATTGCAATTAAATAACCTTTAACTAAAATCCAGATTTTCTGCTTCCTTTACTTGCAGATCATTGGACCAGAGAGCTGCCCCCAAGACACATGGATAAAATGGAGACCTAAATGGGTCAGTTCTCAGATTATCTTTTAGGCAAGAGGCTTTGACTCCTTGCTCTGTTATAGTCAGCACTGAGATCAGAATATAAAACATCACTACACTATCACACCAAAGGCACATGTGACAAGGAGGACCTCCTCATGTGAGCACAAAGAACACTGGCACTTGTGCAGGGGTGATCAGGGCTCCCCTCGGCTTTGCCAGCCCCCACCTTCCTGGGCTCTCCAATTCACACACCCACAGCCCATCGCCAAGAGCCCAAATCCTCCTCAGGGAGGGGGAGCCAAGGTGCCAGTGAGCAATGGGAGCAGTCTGCAAGCCTTGGCTTTCCTGATCACTCCCTGGCATGCTTTCAACCCAGATCTGTAATTACCTGACTCAAGTGAGAGTCAAAAGAAAGGTGGGGGCAGGAGGAAAGAGATCACTGTTTCAAAAGACTACTGTACAGAAGACACTGAGAAAATCTGCATAGACAGTTTACTTGTGTCACATGTTTACAGGGCATAAATTGCAGTTGGCACTTTACCAGAAGGCAACCATTTGCCTTGAACATTTACCATGAAAATACCATTGTTTTAAGTCAAGTTACTATGCCATTACTGCTGGGTAACTTAAGAGTCAAGTACGCAATTAATCCATGTCACCAATGCAGATAGTCTGCAAAACATTACAGCCATTAATCTAGTATTTTTAAAAAGGAGGAAGGGTTAAGAGACAAAAGAACTTATTAGACTTCCAGTAAGCAGAAGACAAAGCCCATTAGTCAGAGGCAAATAGAGGAAAGGAAGGCAGTGAGATAAGATGCAGACCCCTAGGGAGAAGCAGCCAAAGAGAAGGAGCCCAGCCAGGGAATTCTGATGAAACTGTTAAGGGGGTTCCCCCTTATCTTGCTGTGACTACCAAGTCCCTCGAGTGTTTATAGATTATTCTCTCAGCCTTCCAAGAATTATGGCTACCAGTATTCAGCTCCTTCTGTAGTTTTGAGGATGAAAGAAAGGACTGTTTTTCTAATATCCCATGCTTCTATTTTTACAGTCTCTTCTTACTCAGAGTTTTCCTGTTACATTCATGTACAGACCCAAGTGCCTAATGGAACAATAACATTGTTTCTGCAATTTGCAAGTTCTTACAAACTGCCAAAACCCCATCACGATGGGTTTTATAGTGCTCCAAGGCTCTAAATTAAATTTACCAACATTTCCCTGGCACCAGTGAAGAAAATCAAGTGCTTCAGTGTGGGACAGATCAGAGGAGTGCTGGGGCCCTCTCACTCCTCCAACCTGCAGCCATGCATCTCTGTATGCAAACTCTCCATGCATTCCTTTCTGCCATGAGGAAATGCATGTGCAGAAGCCATGTCTGTTCCCTCTTCTTCCATCCACTTTATACCCCACTGCCCCCATAGACATACCCAACACAGAGGATTTCTTCCTGCTCCTTAAGCTGAACCAAAGAAGGCAGCAGAACCAAGCCTCTTCCTTATCCACTCACAAATTTGTCAGAACACAGAAGTCTGTCAAACTGTCTGACAGCCTTCCTGCTCAATATATACTTCTTCAATTAATTTCAATAAAATTTCAATAAGGGTCTTCCAAAAGAGCTGTTCTTAGTTTTCTCTCAAAGCCACTCCTTCATCTGATTGTCTTTTTTCAACACAATTCATGTTAAATGGAAGCAAGATGTAATTATTAACGAATTTCCAAGATCAACAAATTATAATAACTACTGACACAAATCATTGAGAATTTGCTATGAACACAACATTCAACTTCAAAATAAAGCAAGAATCTGGGCAGAAAAGGCACCTAACACAGCCTTACAGATCCTGATTACATGAGCTGATTACAGTTCATATTGCAGGCTGTCAGTCTCACAAAGAAAGCAGCCAAGCAGTACCAAAGCTGTACGTTCCCTGTTATTAGTTGTGTTACTTTTTTTTTTTTAAGAATTACAGTATTCATGCCTACATACAACTTGCTATTAGGAAATAATCAGAGTTTTAGAAATCATTACAAGAGCCAGCATTTGCAATAAGTTTGTAAAGCCAGTTGCACTTTGCAAATCTGAACTAATTCAACACAGATCACAAGCTCTCCTTTTTCTGCTGATGTGCAGAAAGCCTTTGCTTTAGACTGTCAGCTGCCTGCCATGTAGAAGTGAAGGCTTTCCACAGACCACCACAACACACCTTTGTGGGGGAGACTCTGAGGACAGACTACAGAACTGGCAATAACATGGCGTGAGATCTCTTTACTTCCACATGCAATCTTAACTAAGGGACTGTGTTGCCTTTTCTGAGGATTATCTTTCACCAGGGAAACATGCAGCAGTGTTCAGATGCAGGCAAGGGACACAAGTACTCAGACACTCTCTCTCCTCATTCCTGTAGCCCAAATAAAACACTAATACTGTAGCTACAAATTAACTGTTTAACAAAGGGATTTTTAAACACGTAAGGGTTTGTTTAGATAACGTCTTTTGGTCAACTGTTCTCTCTCTCAAAAACATACAGACCATGCCAGTGACACCTGTAATTTTCAAAAAGGTAGGGCAGCTCCATGCTTTTTTGTTTGTACAGCTATGCACCCTTTTTTTTTCAGAGCACTTAACTCATTACCCCTTTAAATTATATGACAGACACTGTCATTCAAAAAAAGTTACCAGCTGTGGATCAATGCTGTATTCTGACACTTGGCATCAGCCTGCTCAGTTATCAATGTAACATTTTGAAGGGCAGCATATCAGCAGTGTTAACTATTTAAAAGATAATCAATGATTCTTTCCAGCAACCACAGCACTGATAGGATAGGCATATTCTCCCAACCAATATTTGCTCAAAACACTGATTATGCAAGTTATAATTTAAGTTGTTATGAGTAGCTTATTAGTACCACCACAGCCCCAGAGAGTGATTAATGCAGATTGCAGCTTGCACAGGAAGGGTAAACACGCTGAGGGGAGGGAGGGAGAACTGAAGCAGGAAAAAAAAGTGGCTGTGCGAAGGGGGTACGTTCAGACGGCGAGAACTACCTAGGAGACAAATCGCTGTGCAGTTTATTTCTCTGCCTTTCCCCTGGAAACACGTCGAACGCTCCCGTTCCCGCGCGGCACGAGAGAAGGTGGGCACGGAGCGCCCCCGAACAAAGCAGCGGCTCTGGGGCCCGGGGGCCGCCCGCAGCGACCACCCGAGGGACGCGTTCGGACCCGCGCACGCCGGAACGGAGAAAGCCGGAGAAGCAACCCCCGGGGCCGGGCAGCACCGCCGCTCGGGGCACGGCGATGAGTGTGGGCTGGGCACGGCCCGGCGGCACCGCAGCCCACCGGCACCGCCCGGAGCAGCGCCCGGCCGGGCACCGAGGCAGCGCCGGCCCGGCCGCTCCCGGCGGGCTGTCCCGGCGCTGCAGGGCTGCGGCTCGGGGGACCCTGCCGTGAGGGGGCGGCGGCGCGGGGCCCCCCGAGCACAACCGGCCCCGGCGGGGCTGAGAGCAGCGCGCTGGGCACGGACGGACCCCGCCTCCCGCGCCGCCGCCCGGACCGTGCCGGGCCGGGCCGAGCCCCGCGCCGCTGCCCCGCAGCCCGGGCGGACGGGAAGAGCTCCGGTCCAATTCACTCACCTCCGCGGCCCCAGCGAGCGGCTCTGCCTCCGCCGCATCACTTCCGGGCGGGCGCTCAGCTGGCGGACGCGCCGTGACGTGCCGTGACGTGCCGTGACGTGCCGCGCGGGGGACGGGGCGCCGGGCCGCGCGCGCGGGGAGGGCAGGGAAGGCGGCGGCTCGCGCTCCCGCGCCCACCGGAGCGGGGCACCCGGCGGGGCGGGACGGGGCACACTGCACCAAGGTAAAGCGGGGAGGGGGGCACGGCCGCCGTACAGGCGGGGAGGGCGGAGGGAGTGGAGAGGCCGGAGGCGCGTGCGGTGGGCCGACCCCCCCTCTGCTTTGCGTTGGTTCCGCCCGGCTGCGGGGGTAGGGCCGCCCCGGCCGCCAGGGGGCGCAAGGACGCGCCTACCCCCCTCGCACCGGCAGCGCCCCCCGGTGGCCGCGCGGGTCAGGCCATGGGGCCGGCAGCGCCATCTTGGCAGTGACCCACAGCGGTCCGTGACCCACAGGGGTCCGTGACCCACAGGGGTCCGTGACCCACAGGGCTCAGTGACCCACAGGGCTCAGTGACCCACAGGGGTCCGTGACCCACAGGGGTCCGTGACCCACAGGGCTCAGTGACCCACAGGGCTCAGTGACCCACAGCGGTCCGTGACCCACAGCGGTCCGTGACCCACAGCGGTCCGTGACCCACAGGGCTCAGTGACCCATGGCGGTCCGTGACCCACAGGGCTCAGTGACCCACAGCGGTCCGTGACCCACAGGGCTCAGTGACCCACAGCGGTCTGTGACCCACAGCGGTCCGTGACCCACAGCGGTCCGTGACCCACAGCGGTCTGTGACCCACAGGGCTCAGTGACCCACAGCGGTCCGTGACCCACAGGGCTCAGTGACCCACAGCGGTCCGTGACCCACAGGGCTCAGTGACCCATGGCGGTCCGTGACCCACAGGGCTCAGTGACCCACAGCGGTCTGTGACCCACAGCGGTCCGTGACCCACAGCGGTCCGTGACCCACAGCGGTCTGTGACCCACAGGGCTCAGTGACCCACAGCGGTCCGTGACCCACAGGGGTCTGTGACCCACAGCAGTCTGTGACCCACAGCGGTCCGTGACCCACAGGGCTCAGTGACCCACAGCGGTCCGTGACCCACAGCGATCTGTGACCCACAGCAGTCAGTAATCCATAGTGGTCCGTGACCCACAGCAGTCCGTGACCCACAGGGCTCAGTGACCCACAGCGGTCCGTGACCCACAGGGCTCATTGCTCACAGTGGTCTGTGGCCCACAGTGGTCTGTGACCCACAGGGCTCAGTGACCCACAGCGGTCCGTGACCCACAGGGCTCATTGCTCACAGTGGTTTGTGACCCACAGGGATCTGTGACCCACAGTGGTCCAAGCCCCCAGTGCCCACAGCACCTGGTGCCCTCAGCCCTCATTGACCCACAGCAGGAGAAGGCAGCATCTTAAATCTCCATTGGCAGCTGCGCCAGCAAAGGTTTAGGTTGGACATGAGGAAGAACATCACAGAACAGGTGATTAGACATGGGAATGGGCTGCCCAGGTTGGTGCTTGCTGGAGTCACCATCCCTGGAGGTGTTGAGGAAAGCCTGGACATGGTCTGGTTGACAAGGTGGTGTTTGGTCACACATGGGACTTGATGGGCTCAGAGGTCTTTTCTAACTCGCCTGATTCTGTGTCCCACAGCCCTCCATGCCCACAGCCACGCTGTGGTTCTCAAATAGCAACTGAAAATCATGTCTATCAATGAGTTTCATTGAGTGACCCTCAGAATTAAGTAAGAAAAGGGTCAGAGAGGATTTTGTCTCTGCTAGCATTAATATTTATACCTGTTCTCGAGCTTGGGAGTGTTTCCAATGCTGGGAAATATTTCTATTCAGGCATTCAGTTGCATTTGGCTGGAAGCCAAGGTATGAATAAGGTGCATAAATCTATACTGGAGCCTGTGTCTGTGTTGTTATATTTCTGTGTGCTTCTATATTATATAAGCAAGGCCATCCAAGGATAGCTGAGAATTCATTTTCTCTCCTAAATTTCTCTGCATTAAAGTCTTTCTCTGCTTGTAAGTGATAGAGAACTAAACACACAGGAGAAGAAAATGGTGTGAAAGTATGAACAACTAGAGACGAGTTCATATTGCTTTAGAGTTTACCTGGACACTGTGTGCTTTTCATGAGAAAGCCAAGAAATAAGTAAAGCAAATTTTTTGTTTCCCTTCCCCCTTTCCACAGTCTAAGTCAGCATTTCTATTCTTCTTGAGGCTCCTGCAGCACAGGAGGCACTCCCAGGGCAAGTCTGTAAGTCCTACTAAAACCAGATAATGCCTCGACCAAAAGCAACTACTTAAGGTTTCCACCTTCTTTTATTCCAAGTGAACAAAATTTTGTAGAACCTTAATTTTGTGCAAATTGGCTTATTTGAACTGACATAGGAAACAGTGATAAAATCCGTGTCCTTGCTTTTACTATTTAATTATATACTCTTTGCATGCAGTTTGCTTTTTCTGATCAAAAGACTGCTCCATATGCAAAAGCAAGCTTAAAAGAGATCCAAGTTCAGTCAGAAATCTGAGGCACAGATAGAACAGCAGAGTTCCCATCCCAGTGATGAACAGTGTGAGTACAATGACTTGGGGAGTCTGGTTCAGAGGTGTTCATCAGGGTTTCAGATCACTTCAGTTGGCCAGCAAAAAGACACTGGCATGACAAAATCCTAAACCCTGTCATAGTCACCCTGCTTTTAGATACTGTTATGGAATATCTTGGTTCAGTAACTTCATTCTTTTTCACCAAATCTGCATATATTTATGATTGCAAGTGTAGATGGAAAGAGTGAGAAATAAATCTTTGAGTCAAATTGATGGGAATGTCTGGAAATTTACAGATTTGTGTCACTGGTAGAAATGAAGATGTAATACCATCATGGAAGAACGTGATCTTTCATTCCAGTCATTTTTCACCATGTGGAGATGGAATACTTTAGCTGTGATTGAGGTTTTGCTAGGAATTGGTTTTGTCTGAATCTTTAAAAAAAGTAATGAATGTTCAATCAAGAATGAAATTCAAATGAAATTTTTACTTTGCCAGTACATACTGTAGCCATGTGTGGTCAGCATTTGCAGGGTACTGTCACACGCCACTGAGTCATTGATTTGGGTAAAAGAAAACAAAATTACTTTTGTGGAAACTAGATTTTGAAACTTAATATTGCTGGAAGGCATGTGACCTATCCAGCTATCGCAGGAATCTGTGACCCCTTCTCTGCCCCCTGTGCTACAGGAACTCATTGTCTCAGTTGTTGGCCCTCAAGGAAGTGACAGCCCAAATCCACTGCTGCCTTAGGAACCACAGACTCATTGTGGCAGACTTGCATGAAAGAGGAATATGGATTACTGACCTCTTGTTGCTGTGGAGAGCTCTGAAAGGAATGATTGATTATCTGCTGCATTAGCAGCAGGAGAGAGACTGCAGGTCACTTTTTAGCTAAGTGGCATCATTTAGCTCCTTAAAAAAATACCCAGATAAATGAATTTTTCTGCATCTCTTTAAATAAACATTAGCCAAAGAGGGCATTTGAAAATAGGAGCTGTAGATTGACATCCAGGCTGGACTGTCTCACGGCACATAGTATAGGAACATGGTGGTGTTCCCTACTATGGTGCTGATACACCGTGGTCTGGAATGACACCATTGACTTCAGTAACAGAGATGTGACCCCAGCTTAGTCTGGAAGGCAGTCAGCCCAGCAGTTTGTCATTGCCTTTAGACTCCTTGCCAGTAGCAAACCAGCTGTCAAATAGAAATTGTGTTGCTTCTAAATAAAACATTTTACATCTGAGAAGTTCAAAGCTGCCTTTTCAAATTATTTCCTGCAGGGTTTTGTTCCCCACCTGCTCCAAAGTAAATCCAGTTTCAGCACCAATACTAGGTGTGTGTTACTAACGCGTGCCCCAGTTAGCTGGGATGTGAACGAAAAGATCAATTGTTTTAAAATACCCTTTTTCCCCATGGGCTTTTCCTTTCGACCTTTATTTTCTAAAATCCTCTATGTACTCACTGCTGGCAGATTTTATGCTTAAAGTGAGTAGCTAATGCTTGACTTGAGCAGAAAGGATGAAATAAAATAGACTTTCAACTTCACCAAAGGAGCTGTGCAGAGGAGCAGAGGGCTGGCCATGTGTTCCCAGCCAAGCATCCCCTGCTGGGAAGCAGCTGTGGTTTAGCTGCTCCTGGATCTGTAGTCAAGTCTTGGTGCAGCCTGTCTTCTGTCCTAGCTGTGCTTTGACACTGCACCGTTGGGGTCATTGGATAGTACAGTTGGCAGATTCCTTTTATTATTTTATATGAACTTTTAGTTTAAATTCTGCAAATTTAAAACCTGCAAATAGCAAAATAAGACTGGTGTTTCGTTGATTATTCAGATTATTGAAATTTTGGGTCAACCAACTAACAAGCCAAAGTTAACAAGCCAACTGCGACCTCCGCTTTTCCCCCGACAGGCACACCTACCTCTGACCTCTCCCGGTTTGCTTTGTGGCAGTGAACACCCGAAATTTGCTCAGCTAAGACAATAGCCCTGTACTTTTTGATAGAAATGCCTGTGGTTAACCTCTGTGGGCTGCGAGCTGCAGTAAAATGAAGGGTGGTAGAAGTTAAACAATGGGTGTGACTACCGCAAGATGGGTGTTAGTGGGAAAGTGGTGTAACATCCACTTAGCATTCCAGAGATGTGAAATATAATTATGATTTAAATGCCAAAGATGTAAGTTGCAAGATGAGTAACTACAAGGACATGAAAGCCTCCCTTATCTTCCTTTCTATCCCACTCAGAATCATTTTGCACACCCACAAAACTAATACAAGTAGTGTCACTTGATGAAATTGCACCTGATACATGACTTGTACCATCACTTACATTTCTGTCAGTGTGGGCTCTGTTTATAACAAAGGAAAAATTCCAATCTCATTTACAACATTTTAAGTTGGAAGTAATTTTGCTCTCAGTGGAATTACTCCCTATTTATACTCCCACTCAGATCAGAATCTGACCCAGCCTTTGAATTTTGTCTTATTTGCTCTCATCCTTTCCTGCCATAGACAGAAGTCCTTGATCTGTAAAGGGCTCCTCATACTTTCATTTATGTATCTTTGCAGAAATGGCTTATGAGCAGGTCTGTAATGATAAGAATTGTTGACTAAATGAGCCCTGGGAGCAGCTGGTTTCTGAGTATAGATGAAAAGCTGCTTAATGTCTTTTACATCATCCGTCATATGTGGGAAGGCGAGTAAGAATGCAGAAGTGCAGCCCATGCCTAGATGAGGGGCCACACAGTTCTGTAGCAATTCCAGCACAGAGGAGTTAAAGAGCAAAAGAAAAAGTTGTAGGTGGGGGAGGGGAAGCAGCTAGTGGGGGAAATAATTGTTGGTTCTAGTCTTTTCAATAAAATATTTCTAAACAGATTCTTGGTATGTTTAAAATCCAAGGGCAGCAGGTGTAGTCAGCTCTGAACAAAGGGCATGTGCTGTCCCAAGCTGTCACTTTGGAAATTCTCTGATGCATAGATCACAACTGAAACCTGTCTTTTAAACATTTTTATCGCCAACACTGTTCCTTTTATTTTCTCTATGGATTACATGAAAACCTAACCTGTTATCAGTTTCTCGGAGGTGACACTTTCAGATAAAAGCAGAGGAGGGAAGTCAGGAGAGGCTCTAGGTGAGGCTAGGATTTAGGACTCTGCTTTTGCTAGGTTAACCCTTGTAACTGAACTATTTATTTTCTGTACAAAATATGCACCTAGCAGGGAGAAGCAGTGATTTTTCAGATACATGTACATCTGTGCTTTTGTATCTGACTGATTTCATTGCCCAAAATGGAGCTCTACAGTGGATAAAGTGAAGCACTTACTCCAAACTGTTTGATGAGCTGGGACTACCTACTTATATTATTGTGGAATTAATTTCCTAGAAATACTATAAACATTTACTAGAAGTACTTTCTGCTGTGTAAGAAGAATAATTTTCTATATGGGGAAAAAATATATGATTGGTTAAACATGTTAAAATACAAATAGCAAACCAAAAATAGTTGCTCTTAAGAATCAGAGAAAAATAGTTCTTGAAAACACAAAAGGTCTTTAGATGACAGCAACAGTTAAGATAAAGCTAGGAGTTTATAGTTCAGGATTTCTTATAAGCCAAATCCCGTGTTCAGGAGCCAAATCCTGTGTTCAGGTTAGCATCTGTAATTCCAGCTTTAGTGAGGAAAAGAGGGTGTGAGTGTCTGGAGCCACAGGAGGCTGGTTCTGGTCAGGCTGCCTCGCTGTGCTGGAGGCAGCAGCTAAAGAACAGTACAGCCTGAGAGGCTCTAGCCCCTCTTTTACAACCCAGCATCCTAGGAATTGCCACAGACTGCAGGGATTTGACCACAGCACACTGCCAAACATCCCATGGTAGTTGGGGTGCTGCATTAGGAAGCAGCTTTTCCTCATGGCCAAGAGTGTGCCCCCTCCAGGGGGAAGGTCAGGCTGTCTGAATTACTCTGCTCCAAACTGTCCATTCCCAGCACACAGGTCTGATTTCAGGGTAGATTCACCCAGAGTAATTAGAGATCCAGGTTGGCAAATGGATCCTGATCGTCAGATAATGTCCTGTCCCTGACACTTGTTCCTCATTGCATCCATGTACTTACTTGGCAGGGCGGCTGCACCTTCCTTTGGGACAGTAAGGCACCTTTGACAGTGCCCCTTAAGCAAAAGTCACTGTTTCTGTAAATTTAATTTATGACAGAAATTGTTATCCAGAAGTGGATTTGTCTCAGGGATATTTGTGGTCTGTCATGAAACAGTGTAGCCACTTACATGATAAAATACTCGCTTACATAAAACAAGAATAAGATTTCATTCTTTCTTCTGACAAATCGTCTAATCACACCTGGAGGCTGATTCAGTGGGCTCAGAAGGTGCACAGCTCTCTGAAAATCAAGACATTCAAGACTTTCCTAAATGCACAGTTAGTCTGCCTCTCCTGAGTGCTTAGATAAAATAGCTTTCATCACCTTTTCATCACATCAAACTCCAGCTGAATCATTACTGCCTACTGTCATGGTATCACAATCCTCTCAGCCCCTGGAGCCTGTACAAGTTTTCAGCAATATTGTGGTGGTTTTATCATGTATTTCATTCACAGATTTGCAAAGATAGGGTCAGCACTGGTGCAACAATGTCTCAGGAAGGGGGACACGTAGAGTTTCGGTGATTTGCCCAATGTCTGTTGCAAAACATCACTGAAATAGAACCAAGGCATTCTTGTACCAGGCTTGATTCAGCAAAGCACTAAACCAAGTGCTTAACTTTGAGCAAGAGCTCAAGGTGTTTGAATGGAGATATATTTAAGTATCTGTATAAATTCTTTGCTGGACTGAGGCTCCAACTTTCAACAGCTAATTATTGTTCACTATATATTCAACAGCTTTCAACAGCTAATTATTATTCACTATATATTCAACTATTTCAGGGTTTTTTCATATAGCTCAGCATATCTTTGGATGGTGGAAATATTTTTAAACTAATTTAATTGTGTGAACAAATGTCCTGCTTGCTGGCCTTTTGGCAACTCAAATGTTCATGCATATGTTGGGGGGTTTGTCTTGTTTTTTCAGATGACACCAGCAACTCGACAAGAAGTTCTTGGCCTTTACCGCAAAGTTTTCCGAATAGCCAAAAACTGGCAGTCGGCATCAGGACAGATTGAGGAAACCATGAGAGAGAAAGAGTACATTAGAAATGAAGCCAGAACATTATTCCGAAAAAACAAAAACGTGAGTGTCCTCATGGTGTTGAATTTCCAAATTACTCATCTCTTGCTCTTTGCACTCTGTGGTTGGATGCTAAGATAGGAATATAAGGGTTGAGTTCCCAAGATTTCATTCACCTTAAATGCTGGTGTATATGGGTTACAGTTTAAATATCATCCCTGAGAAAACAAACCATTTCAGCTCTTCATTAACTACTGTAGAAGTCTAAAAGGTCTTTTTTCAGTAAGAAAGTGCCAAGAAAAAACTAAATTCCAAAGATACTGCTTGTGTAATTGAAGCAGCTTTTGATCTTTACAAAGTTAGCTAAGTGTATCATTACCCATGCAATGGCAAACAGAACTCAGCAGCTTCTTTTTTTTTCTTTTCAAAGCTGCAATTATTGGCACTTCTTTTAAAAGAAGCACTTTAATTTTTTTCTTAAGGAAGAAATTTCAAACCCTGGTAATCAAAGGCCCTTCTTGTAATTCAAGATCACAACACTTATTTATATCCCATATTGGTCTGGAACTAAATTGAAGCAATGCAAAATCAAAAAAAAATGAATTTAAGTCATAATTTACACCACATTTCTCACTTCAAAGAGAGTTTCTGGATGGGATGATAACAGAATGTTCATCAAGCAGTGTCTTTCCTTTCTCCACTGGTAGACCTTACAGAGTGATGAACAGATGAGTATGTTTTTTTCATAGATGTAGTAGTAGTTTACATGTGTATTGTATTTCTACAGAAAAAATACCATGTTTGGGTAAAAAACTTCTGTAGCCTCAGTCCGGAAAGCCTCTGGGCATTAACACTCAGCACCATCAAGCCCAGAACTGTTTAGTCCAGGAAAATACCAGTGTTACCTTTTATGGGTGTGAAAAACAATTCATTGTATCCTTGAGTTTGCCAAAATAAGCTAAGGAAAGCCACATGCTGGGCATCATTTACACTTGGGCTTCCAATTGCTAATTACTGTACTCATATAAAACACTTGTCTGATCATCATAGGTAACAGATCCAAATCTGATTAAGCAGTGCATAGAAGAATGTGAGGCAAGAATAGAAATTGGACTTCACTATAACATCCCCTACCCGAGACCTGTGAGTATAAATCACAAAGTTTTCACTGGTACCTGCTGAACTTTCCCTGTACAACAAAACCATCAGTTTCCATCACTCTCACTGCACTGCATTTTTAGATGAGCTGGCATTTAAATGTACGCTAAAGCAGAGCCAAATGTACATTGAGATGTTCTTTATCTTTCACTGTAAATTGGAGAATTCCTTCTCAAAGGAAGGAGTCAAAGCCTAAATGGACTTGTATTAACTAAACTCCCAAGGCCTCTGAATATTTAGCCAACCAATGAATATAGAGAAGCATGGTAATGGAATCAAATAATAGAAGAGAATGAGAGAATAAAAGTACCTAATTACATCTGCCATAGGTACAATAATTTTTATAGCCTACATTACTGTTAACTGTTCTCCTGGTCACAGATCAGGCCTTATGAAATACCTGTCTGTGTTGCTGCTTCTTTTTCCTTCTTCCTACAGAAGAACATGTCCAAGATTACTGAAATGGTGGAAGTTACAGCAAAGTTTTCTAGTGCAATATTCAATACAGTTTCCTCACTGCCCAGTCACTTCTGTCAGTAATAGTTTATGCTGCCTCTCTCTCTACTCTTGTTGATGAGTTTATATTTTCACATCTATGGTTCCCTTATCAAGGCAGTCATGGTCAAATTTAAATTGTATCTTAATCGGATGCTTGTCTAGGCTATGGTCACTGTTACCATCTGTTTCAATACACAGAATAGCAATGTACAGCTGGCAAACAACGTTCCTAGAAATGGGCCTAAAATGTGTGCTCTGCAGTGGATTCAAAATCTCTCTCAGACAAACTGGATGATTATTATTTCTCAGATTCTAGAAATCTCTACTGCTGCTTTAGTCAGTGCTTTTACTACTGTTTGCACCTAAACACCCATCTTACAGGATGACAGCCTCAGCAACAGTAACACCTGACTGCTAACACCTACATTTTTCAGTCATTTCAGGGTTACAGCTGCATGATTCCCACTAAAAGTCTCATGAAATATAAAGACTTTGTCAATCAAAGGAAGAGTCTGTCACCTATTGCTCCTTCTACTTATGGAGTCAATGACATTGATTGTGCATTTTAATGTGCCATATAGATATAATCATGACAGTAAAAAGGCAGGCTTTCAGTACATACAGTTTGGGGTTATTTTGTAACTTGCTAAGTAGGTATGAATAAATCACACAGTGATTCAAGACATTACTCAAGAATTTTTAGGGTTTCTAGTTCTTACTGTTCTGGAACACTGTCAGCAATCCTATTTCATCAAGTATCATTGCAGTCTGATACCAAACTGCAAAACAAAGTTACTAAGGCCTTGCATATATACGATTTAATTAAGGCCTAAAATATATAGGATTTTAATAAACAGAACAATTAGTTCTGTTTTAGTTACACCACTAATTAGTTCTGAAAGTTACACCACTAATCACTCCCCAGAGAGTGCTCCTCCTAGAAATCTAATAACCTGGCTTGAGACAATAGTGTTAACCTCTCCAAAGTGTGAAGAAATGATTTAAAACTCAGTGAAACTTATTCCGTATTTTCCTTCCCAATATGCACCTAACTGGTGGGATTTTCTTTTCCAGATCCATCTGCCTCCTATGGGCCTTGCCCATAAACAAGGCCGTGCATTGCGACACCAGGAGAGGTTAAGGAAGATTTCTAAGCCAATATATCTGAAATCCCACGATGAAGTTTCATAAGCCACCATTTAAGCTGTGGTGTGTAATCACATCCTTTGAACTGTGAACTGCAATCTGGGTGATTTGTGTGCACGACTGTGAATAGTGTGGGCACTTGCTGACACATTTCCTGAGGCCAAAAAGCCAACTGATCCATTGTGTATGATGGATAAGGTTGGTTTAGTATTTATTACATTTCAACCACTGACTTGTCAATAAAAGTAACACTTTTTAAGGAGTGAGGTGTGATACTAAGATTACTTTGACATCAGGACAAACTGCAGCAGGATTTCAAACTGTTTATCTGTAACAGGGTTCTCTAGTGGCTTGAGGGATCTCTGTGCTCAGTTATGACTCAAGACTGTGCCTTGCCTAAGGTCAGCCAAAATTAAGGAAGTCTGGGACAGTCAAGCAGACACAGTTCCTCCAGAGCTTTTGAATGCCAGTGGGAATACAGCCACTGCACCATACACCTGCTCTGCTTCCTCTCTGCTCCCTGCTCTGCCTGCTGTCCCTGCAGGAGAGCTCCAGTTTCACAGTAACCTGATGGGGAAGTTTTGTTTCTGGACAGTAGAAAAAGAGACAGCAGAAGTGCCACTGCTCCTTTGCAAACTGCAGGGGAGTGGCCTAGAGTCTCTATGTCAGCTTTTTTCTCTCTTCCTTTGGAGAGGGTGTGGATGTGAAATGCAAAATTTGGAATGCTATTACACAACTCTGAGTAAAACATTCCAGTGTTGGGTTTCTCAGGTTCCCATGTATGGACTGGCTGAAAACACTGCCTTCGGGGTATCACTATGGGAACAACCTTAGGATGCTTTGGTGTCCTCACTGTGTGTTTTCACTCAGCTTTTCAGCATAATCAGCATACTGGCTTTCTCAACAATTATTTTAATTTTACTGTTAGGTTTTAAGTCTTATGTTATGGATTGAACCCTAACTTTAGGAAAAGAAAGTATCTACAAATCTCCTAAGTTTGAGGAGTATTTCTGTTTCCCAGGTGCCTCATGAGTAGAAGTAAAATGACATTAATTTTCTTTTCATGGGTTACCAGTTGTTTTGGCTCCCTTGCAGTCCTCTGACTTTACTAGGCTATTGACATGTTCTCTTCAGGGAAGTTAGGGGAGCCTTCCATCCTTCAGGCTTGAAAAACCAGTGAGACCAAGCTTGCACAAGAGCCACACTTGTACTGGACACTACCTAAGCACAGTCCAGAGCACTTAAGGGACAATCTATTCCAGCCTGACTTTAATACTGGCAAAAAAAAAAAAAAAAAAAAAAAAAAAGGCAAATTTGAAATATGCATGTGTGTATGATTTCCTTTTAAAGTGGGAGAAATCAATGAAACCTCATTTCTGCGCTTGCCAAGTCATTCAAAACTCTCCAAGCTCTAATAAACAGTGATAAAGAAATATTGCTGTCTACCTGAAAAGTAAGTTAGAACTGGTCTTGTGCAGAATAGACTGACAGTCCCTCCCCAAAGAATGCACTTTTAAGAGTGAAAAAGCAGATGAGAAAGTATAAGAAAACAATAAGAAGAGTGAATCAGCATGACAGGTACTGGCTAGCCCAATTTCTCACTACCCTTTATGGCTCCAGTCCACAAAGGTCTCTATTCCCATATAATTATTTCCTGGGAATGCCTCATGTGGGTAGTAACAGGTAAAATGCCATTGTTCTGTCAGTGGAAGCTTTGCAAATTTACTGCTGCCAGGAAGACACAAAACTTCTTTAGCCTAGGAAAAGGGGGATTGCATAAAAAAAAAAGGGAGAAAAAAATTTAACATGACTGCACACACTGCTTAATTCTTCATTGAAAGAAGTCTAACTACAGGCTAATCTGATATCCCAATTCTGATACACCATTGTAGGGATGTGTCAACTGAGCCCAGCCAAAATGTGCAGAGGCAAGGGGTTTGAATGGAAGCTTAAGCTCACTCTTTTGTCATTAAAATATCATTTGAATCTTTGAATTGCTGAAGTTCATGTGACTAATGAAGGTACTGATGCTCTGACACATCAGGTGAATAAACAGCCATGGAAATGAGCAGTCTAAATTTACTGTCTGTGTTACAGTCACAACTCTTTCCTAAGCACATACTGTAAGATGTAGATTATTTCCAAAGAACAGCCCTAAAATTACAGAAGATTTACACCAAATCGAAATAACAACAGGAGTTTGAGCTTACTTGTGAAGGAAAATACAAAGAAGCAATTTTTAAAATATTCAAATACCATCAAGTAACTCAAATGAGTATCCACTTACTTAACTGAGAAACCAGCAAGTAACAGCATCACATTATTTGAGATGCCTTAAAATGCTAGACAGCCTAATAATTCTTCAAAGGGTTTGAAAAATTATTAACTGGTGCTTCATCCTCATTACTCTCCATCACCAGAAGGCAAAGACTGAAATTTTTTAAAACTTCAGGCTGTTCAGCTAAAGGAAGGATTAGATCAGCTCTTTTTTGAAATCTAGAGAGCAAACACTTTCTTTCATAGCTTAAGTTAAAGTTGGTACAGAAAGGAGAATCTAACTAAATTCCTTTGTTTTTGGAGGTCAAACTGACCAACTATCATCTTGAGGAAGTTTCATTAAAAAATTAATCTGCAACTCAGTCCAGCAGGTTGGCAGACATCTCAAGTGGTACCCTTGTATTAGATGCCAAGGCCCTTATAACTTCTGTCAAGAAGTATTCCAATAATTGCACAATGTTATTCCTACACATTAATTTTACTTGCAAAAACAAGTTGTCCTAAAATGCCTCTGCTTTCTGCAGAATTTGCAATGCACTGGATTCACTCAGTCAGTGTACACTCTGTCCTGTACTTGCTGAACCTTCTCTTACTCCCCTTCCAGTAAACACTGTCATTTTCCAATTTATCACCCTAGTCAGGAGATGCTTCAGAATAATTTTTGAAGAAAATGATGACATTAACTATATTCTTCAAAAATAAAACTCCTGAGTCAGTTGCATGAACTCTCCTGCAAGCTAACTGGTAGGCAAGGCAGTGATAATTTGTTGACACAGTATCTGGCCTTGAATACCTAAGTAAAACCTCCTTTCTGGAAGTTCTGTCCCTAAATCCATCATTGCTAAAGTTGTAATTTGTGAAGCTGTGCACTTATGACTAACATTAGCAAGCACACAGCCTTTTAAGAAGGAGATGCACCTCCTTACTGAATCACCCCCTTGATGTTGTCTGGGGATGAGGAAATGCTCATTTTGCTGCAGCAGCTCCCCAGTCAATTCCCAGGGCACCATCACAGCACCAAAACAGGTTAGGTTACCTGATCCATCTTCCTGCTAATACAAGCTGCTTCTTGTGATACCTTTCAGATCGGAAGAAAATAAGGCAAGGCTGACGTTGCTGTCCTGGGCCCCACTATGTATCCATCAGAAATGGCAGCAGTAACATCCATCTTTCATCCACAGACAGAGAGGTCACTTCTTTGAGCATACCTATCCATTCATTTCCAAGAATGCTAATTAGAGCAGAGACCTGCAACTTTCACTAGTAACTCTAATCCTATTAGGCCAAATATTCTAGCTTTAAGTGTAAGAATTCGGAGCCTTTGTATTGTCTTCTGCTTTTTCATTGTTAATTTTCCTCTTAACAGCCCAACAGTGTTAAAATGTACAGGGGTAATACTTTCTAAAAAGAATTTTTTGTACAGATAAGAGGAAGGTTTCAGTCTCCCAAGAAAATACACAAACCATGTCTGTCATACAGCATCCCTAGCTGGCAATCTGTCTCTGCTAAGGGAAAAATACCTCTTGCTCTGTAATGCTTCTTTTTCCATCTGCCTTGAGTTATTACCAAAGCTGTAAATCTACAATTTGAAGTAATTACAGGTGGGGTTTGTGGCTTATTTAATGAGTGCTTCTAATTAAGAAATGAAAATTTTAAACCTGTCAATCCAAGGATTCTAATACTACTATTACAAGGTCCTTAGTTTGTCCAAAAATTTTTCACATTTCTGTCATGTCCAACTGGCAGCTGAATTGCTTTTTCTTTTTTCTAAATGCTTCTCAGCCAAGAAAGGTTTTGAATTCTAGTGTTTAGCCAGTTTATCATTCTCCAGGAAGGTCTAGACAATGCTAAGGAAATAAGGTTGGGAAGCTCATTTCATTTAAGTCATTTAAGGAGTTGTAGCAGCATCCCTTCATGCTTGGAGCAGAATACTGGGAAATGCCAAACGATGGCTGAATCTCTGACTTTGTGAGGCCTCCAGCAAGTCATTAAAATGCTGCAATTTGGGCAATAAAAAAAATACAAGACCCCAAATTAGTGGAAGTCTGTGTAGCACGTGTTTTTTTAAATGTTTGCCTTGATCTTTGTGCATCTCTTGTCCTGTGTACACAAGTCTAATGATGCATCTTTAGTACCTTCTTGACATGCTGTGGAGATTAGTTAATGACTGCACAGCTCTTTGAAGATGTTTGGGCTATTTTATTTTTAATTAATGTTTGCAAGCTACTTTGAGCTTCTCTGATGAAAGGGCTTAAACAAGGACAAAATTTCAGGCAGTTATTAGCCCAACATGCAAGAGAGCAAGATGAGGAAGAAGTTGGGATAGAGTCAATTTTGCTCACACTGGTTGGGATGGGGCTGTGCTTTGGATTGTGCTGAACACTGGGTTGGTAACACAGAGATGTTTTTGTTATTGCTGAGCAGGGATTGCACAGAGCCAAGGCCTTTTCATACTGCCAGGCTGTGGAGGAAGTTGGGGGTGCCTGGGAGGGTGGGAGGAGACACAGCCAGGACAGGTGACCCCAAATGAGGAAAGGGACATTGCAGACCATGTGACATCACGATCAGTGTGTAAAGTGGGGGAGAAGAGAGGGACATTTGGAGTGATGGCTTACAAAGCCACCATTACATGTGATGCGTCTCCTGGGAATGGCTGAACGCCTGCCTGCCTGTGGGAAGCAGGGAATTAATTGTTTTGCCTTGTTTCTGTGCATGGCTTTTGCTTTCTCTATTAAACTGTCTTTATCTCACCCCATGAGATAGTGGGGGGAATGGTGTGAATGAATGGCTGTGTGGGGCTGGGCTGCTGGCAGGAAGTAAAGTGAGACTGTGGGAGAGAGAAAACAGCTCCATGTATCAGGTACTGGAATATGTAGGTAAATAATTTTGAAAAAAAAAAAAAGTTATATGGCACAAGCATACTGTTCTGAGAAATGGCAGCTCCCAATACATGTGCTGTGGAGAAGTTTTCCATGGAAATTCTGAGACATCATCAAGGAAGGAATGACTACAGTTTTATAATACAGCTTGGGTAGTTCATTCTATCTGAGGATTGGAGGATTGGCTTCATATGTTGACAACAGAGTATTTTCATCTCCTCCCACCTTGTCCTACATATTTCTGAAACACAGAAGTGGTAGGCAAATCCAAAATCTTTTTGCAAGAGTTGTAAAATAGATTCCCAGTAAAATCAGCATCAAAACTCTTTAGGCCCGATTTCATTTAAAAAAAAACAGCCATGCAGCCACTGAGAAGTAAAGCAGATCTTTACAATCTCAATATTGCACCCTCTCAGTCATCCAGCTGGCACAGGGCTGCCACACCTCGATTTATCCAGTGTTTCTGGGGCTTGTCTGAGGGGAGTTCAATTGACAGAACATAGTTGGTTGAGTGCCCAGTGGTGGATAAGACACCTCTTCTTTCACTTGTCTTATATACAGGGCATGAGTAGATGTTCAGATGACGAAATTTGGAACTTTCTCCAGGTTTCAGCCATATTATGGGCAAAGGATCGTAGAGGATTTTTGGTAGTGATTCTCCAATTACCAAGGATTCTCTATCCCATCGTGCACCTTCCAGAAAAAGGCCTCTCACATAAGCCCCATCTTCTGGCATTTTCTCCATTGTGTGCTCCTGTTTCATCACCTGGAATGATTAAACCATTGCTTGACTTTATTTTTATCTGGAGTATACTAAATCCTATAAGTGACAGTCT